TGCAGAAGCTTCTGACCGAAAGTCGTGAACCCTGCAGGAAATGTCGGCTCGGTTCCACGGTGTCTGGGACGCTGGAGGTGCAGCGCGCCTCGTGGCAGTCCGCCGCTGCTCTGACCGCGACAGGCCTCCTGCCGCTGCGGACACAGGCTGGGATGTCGGGCGCGGCGCGGCGTTGGAGGAGCGCGCCGGGCTCGGCCAGCTTCAGGGACCCAGGGCCCAGGGCTCCCTCTTCCTCCGGGGCTCCCTCTTCCTCCCTGCATGGGACCCCTGGGACCAGGGCCCCCTCCTCCCAGATGGAGGCCAGGCGCTCCGGGGCTCCCCGCTCTCGCCCCTCCCGAGCGCAGGTCCGGCATCGGGCATCCCATTGCCGCGTGCTCGTCCTCGCCCGGGGCTGTGGTGGTCTGGCCTGGGGAGGAGGAGGAGGAGGAGGAGGAGGAGGAGGAGGAGGAGGAGGTGGAAGAGGAGGAGGAGGAGGAGGAGGAGGAGGAGGAGGAGGAGGAGGAGGAGGAGGAGGGAGGAGGAGGAGGAGGGAGGAGGAGGAGGAGGAGGAGGAGGAGGAGGAGGACGAGGAGGAGGAGAAGGAGGAGGAGGAGGGACGAGGAGGAGGAGGAGGAGGAGGACGAGGAGGTGGAGGCCTCGTCGCCGTGTGGCCGCGTGTGCCCGGGGGTCCTGGCCGGAGCGCGCCTCACGAGAGGTCGCGTGGGCGCTGCTGGGTCGAGGGCGGGGCGCGTGCAGGGACATACGCTCTGTTGTAAGTCGGGCCTGTCCCTCTACAGGGGGGAGCTTCCAAGATAGTAAAACAAAAAGTCTGGGGACGATGTCGTCTTGGGTGTGTTTGACCAACTGGGCCACATATTTTTGGAGTATGTTTGATTCCTGTCGCCCAAGATCCCCCTGTATGGGGGACACGCCCGACGTAGACTTTGTTTTGAGTTCCGCGCGGGTTGCTTGGATCTGTGCTGGACCCCCCGGCGCCAGGGGGGAGGGTGCACCGCAGATCCAGGAGAGATGCGCGGGCCTCCAGACTTTTGCGTGTAATTATGCCGCGCCCAGATCTATAGCACTGCTGTGTCCCAGCCGTGCTCGCTGGCCTGCCGAGCGCGTGGGTTTCGCGATTGCGAGCATCTCAGCGGTCAGCAGGCTGGGATTCGGGAATTATTCCAACCAGTTGCTGCATGCTGTACCGTACTGTGCCTCCTTGCTTGCGGTGGTGTGACGCCCGATTCTATGAATGACCGTTCGGTCATATGGGGGAGCGCACGCGCCACGGTTTAATGCATCCGCATTGGCCCAGATGCTGCGTTCTGTTCCCTCGTCCCCCGTTCTCTTGTGCCCCCGTTCCTCCCTCCCCCTCCTCCTATTCCCGCCGGTGTCTTTTTACTTCTGGCCATGGCCGCAGTTTTTCTGACCACCACGCGGCCCATTCGCCCTCCGGTCCTCGTCCTCGTCCTCGTCATTCTCCCCTTCCTCCCTGTTTGTGGTGACGGTTGCCCGGCTGGCCAACTTACAGCCCTGCCGATATCGAGTCTTATGTGGGTGCGGTTGTAGCCCCCTGGAGGGGGAGTGGATTTGACGCTCGATCGAATTTGTCCTGTCCATGAGCGGGCATTGGGAGCTCCTCCTCCTCCTCCTGAGTGTTTCTTTTTTTATGGAGCTCCTCCTCCTCCTCCGCCTCCTTTTCCCATGCATTCTGCATGTCGCTTGCGTTTCACCCTTTGTTCCCCCCCTGGTTCTGTTCGGGATGCGTTTTCGGAGGCAGGCGGGCCCGCGTTCCATGCATTATCTTCTTCCTCCGCCCAGTTCCGGTCCTCCTCCCTCTCTTCCCCTCCCCGAGTTCTTTGGCGAAAGGGGGCTCACCAAAACCCCATCCCCCAGAAATTCGCTGCTCTGTCCTCCTCCTGCTTCGTCCTCCTGCTGCTCCGTCCTCCTCCGTCCTTCTCCGCCTCCTCCTCCTCCTCCTTCTCCTCCTCCTCCTGCTCCTCCTCCTTCTCCTCCTCCTCCCTCCCCCTCCTCCCCTCCTCCTCCTCCTCCTCCTCCTCCTCCTCCTCCTCCTCCTCCTCCTCCTCATCAGCATCATCATCATCATCATCATCATCATCATCATCATCATCATCATCATCATCATCATCATCCTCCTGCTCCTCCTCCTCTTCCTCCTCCTCCTCATCATCATGATCCTGCTGCTCGCAGGTGCTCGCAGAGCGGCCGACATCCTCTGGGAGCGGTTGCGAGCGGTGCGCTCCCAGGGAAATCTGGTGGGAGAGGGGGTGAGCCGCCTCGGAGGAAGTGCCTGGATGTTCCGAGAAGCTCGCTGGCGCTCTGGGGGCTGGGGGAGGGGAGGAGGGGGAGAGGAGGAGGAGGAGGAGGAGGAGGAGGAGGAGGAGGAGGAGGAAGAGGAGGAGGAGGAGGAGGAGGAGAGGGAGGAGGAGGAGGAGGAGAAGAGGGAGGAGGGAGGAGGGAGAGGAGGAGGGAGGAGGGAGGGAGGAGGGAGGAGGAGGAGGAGGAGGAGGAGGAGGAGGACGAGGAGGAGGAGGAGGAGGAGGAAGACGGAGGAGGACGGAGCAGGAGGAGGATGGAGGAGGAGGGGAAGGAGGAGGAGGAGGAAGTAAGAGGGAAGGAAGGCGGGATGCTGGCAAGCAGGCAGAGGAGGAAGAGAAGGAGGAGGAGGAGGATGTGGAGGACGACCAGTGCAATTCCAAGACTCATCAATTTCAATAAACTCTACCTCCAAGTTCCCTCATCAGAAGCTCCTACACGAGTCAATTCTCACTGAACGAAATGCCCCGTTGGAGGGCAACCGTGCGAACATTTGGGATTGTGCTAGAATACCATCCGTGTGATTTCAACGCTGCGAACCACCGATACTGCTGCGTCTTGACGATCCAGAGTCACACCAGAACCCCAGTCTTGGCACTTCAACACCGTCAGTGAACGTGGCTGCTGCGCCCTGACATTCAGACATCGTGCCAAAACACTTTTTCGCGGACGTTAGCCATGGGAATGTTTGAAACTCTTGGCAGACTCAAAAACAAATGTGCGCGACGCTAAGCCGAGAGACACATTCTGAAAAGGAACCGCACTCCATCCGCGAAACTCTTGCAAATGTTTAATTCGAATGTGCGCGGTGCCTCGGCGACAGCCACATGTTGAAAACGGACCGACCTCCATCCGTGAAGCTCTTCCAATGTGTTTAACGAGTGCGCTCAGCAACAAGGCGACAGAGAGCCACATTTTGAATGCGGGCCGCCCTTCATCCGTGAAGCTCGTGCGCATGGCAAGCTTCAGGATCATAAATGGCGAGGAAGTCTCAGGCGAAACGCCTGGCCCGCCCTTTCGGCCAGCCTCGGGGTGCGACAGGTAAGAGTTATTCATAAGGGACATGATTTCAGGAGGAGGAGGAGGAGGGTGAGGAGGAGGAGGAGGAGGAGGAGGAGAAGGAGGAGGAGGAGGAGGAGGAGGAGTGGAGGAGAAGGAGCAGGAGGAGGAGGAAAAGGATGAGAGAAGAGGAGGAGGAGGAGGAGGAGGAGGAGGAGGAGGAGGAGGAGCAGGAGGAGCAGGAGGAGGAGGAGGAGGAGGACGACGAGGATGCCGTCTCGGCGGCGGCCACAGGCGCGCGAACTGCTGGAGAGCGACGCTCGTCGGCTGGCGCGGGCCTTCGTGGCCACCGGCGAGCAGAACTCGGTGCACCTCGTGCGGTGGCCGAACGGAAGGAGGGGGAGAAGGGGAGGAATAAGGAGTTAGGGAGGAGAAGGGGCGGGAGGGAGTGAGAAGTAGGCGGGGAGAGGAGGGGAGGGAGGAGGGGAAGGAATAGGGTCGTATTGATTCAGATTCGATGGATCGGCAGCGGAACGCGGGGCAGTACTCAGTGGCGTCCACACGTTGGTAGGTGATGCGTTGTCAAGAGATCGGTGAGCGAAGCAAAACGAGCAATAACATCAAAAGCAGTCCCCCGAGACGGCCGCAGAGCTTCTCCAACGACCCACCTCCCTCCCTTGGAGCGAACGCGACGGATGGTGAATGAGATGGAGAGGAGGAGGAGGAGGAGGAGGAGGAGGAGGAGGAGGCGGAGGAGGTGGAGGAGGAGGAGGAGGAGGAGGAGCACGAGTAGGAGGAGGAGGAGGAGAAGGCGGATGCGGAGGAACAGGAGGACCAGGAGGATCAGGCGGCGGGTAAGGAGAAGGGAAGGAGGAGGAGGAGGAGGAGGAGGAAGGAGGAGGAGGAGGAAGAAGAAATCGATGTCGGAGAGGGGGAGTAGGGAAGGGGAGCGGAGCAGGGGAAGATGGAGCGGGATGTCATGGTCGATCGCCCCTTGAGCTCGCCACTCGCATCCGAGCAGGGCAGCACCCCGCCTCCGTCGAGGGAGGTTGCCGCAGCACGATCACGAGCATGACGCCGCCGATTGCGGGCAACGGCGTGCCCAGCGGAGGAGCCCCCCACGCCCGCCCGGAAGGTGGCTGGAGGGCCTCACGCATTTCGGGGGGGCGCTGGCCGAGCTTGTGCTGCTCCACCCGGGCCACGCGCGCTTCACCGTCACCGCCGTGGGCACGGGCATGCGCTCGCCCTCCCCCGCCGTCGCGGAGTGGCGCGGGCTGCCAAAGGGCAGAGGGGGGGGGGGCCGTCGGGCGGGCCCAGGACGGGGATACATCGCTCTAGGGCGCTCCAGAACGCTCTCGGAGCGCTCGAGCGCTCGGGGGAAGGCCGCGGCGCACGACGCATCCTCCGGAAGAGGCAGATCTCAGAGATCCCCGCTCCTGGTTCTGGCCTGGTGTTGTCCTGGGTGCTGGCCTCGTCTCTGGGGGGGCGGGGGGGCGCCTGGTTTGCCTTCCGGAGGGCGGGCGCGCCCAGGAGTCCGGGGTCCTGCTCGGGGTGTGGTCTGCACCCGCAGAGGGCAGGCCGTGAGGCCGGGCAGATCACAGCACCAGTCGGAGGCGACGATGGGGGCGAATGGCCCAATGGGGGGAGCAGTACGTGCATCCAGGGGCGCTGGTGGTCCATGTCCA